AAAGCTATATCAATTATAATAAAATATAATTTTATATATTGTGCTTAATAAATTTTATTTCATTTAACAATTATTGTATCAGTAAGAATAATAATGTTCATTGCATTGAGGACACGTAGTTTTGACAACTAATTAAAAACATTCAAAATTTGCTTGTTTTGTTGAACATGTTTATAAATATTTTACTTGTGTTTTTGACACTTTTGCCATTAGCATTTTTTGTTATTCTCACTATTCCGGCTGTACAATCTCTTTATTATCTTACGCCATTTGTTTAGAAATTTCTGGATAAGAATACATTGTAAGTGTAGATTTATAAAAATCGAGCCAGATTGAATAGCTGAGACGTTTTTAGCTGCTGTGATTACTACAATTATGTTCGTTTTTAGTATCCAACAAGTATCCTCAATGGAAAATACTCAATAGTAGGTGTTCGTGATCTGACAACTGGTTATGATAACACGAAATCGAAAAATATTCTACCAGTTTCAAAATCAAGTCAAATGATAACGTTTACTTTTAAGAATGGCTTAGTAATAACATTAAGAACCAGTGGTACAGAACCTAAGATTAAGTACTACAGTGAAATATGCGCAACTCTTGAAGAAAAGTAAGCTGTCAAAAAACAAAAATATCGCATAGTACAAATATCCATTGTTTTTAAATGATTTCTATTTCTGTTTTAGAAATCTTACACTTCTAAGGACAACGCTTAAGGAAATGGTATCGACCGTTGTAAAGGAATTTCTCCAACCTAAAATAAATGGACTCTTACCCCGACCTAGTTAAGTGGAATTACCAATATTTATCATACAATTGCAGCAGCTGCAAATCAAAGTAGAAGAATATTTACTGTATTCCAATTTTATTTTATTATATTTTTTTTTATTGAAAGCAAAATGATCATATTTCTAATGAAAGCAAACATTCACCAGTTCAATAATTCCTCATTTGTAATTTACAAAGTAAAAAAATTTGTAATTTACTTACTAATTCTAATTTCTTAAATTTTTATTAATTTAAGTCGCTATAAATTATTAATTAGGCTATTATTAGGTTCATAATGTCTGTAAAAATTTGGTTTTACAAAAACTTAATTCGTTACATTGTGCAGCTTCATGAAAAAATGTTGTGAATTAAAAAGTTTATTTAAACAACTGCCACTGTCTTCCTTAATTTATTCAAATGTGCGACAACATGTATGATATATTGACAATGATTATAAACAGATTAATGTAATAATTTTATAAATTATACAGTCTTTAACAAAATTATTACCAGCCTAATATTTGTTCATAATAAGTTCACCATAAATTAACTTCTGCAACGAACATGTAATGTCACTTGCATCAATCATCCAGCATGCTACCTCTTTTATTGGTCCCTTTTCTATTACAATCTACTTTTTTCTTTCTGCTTAGTTTTGCATCTTGAGAATAGAATGTAATACACTAAAAGTAATGTGTTATCAATATCTTAATTATCAAATAATTTATTTAAAGGTAGTAATATTACCTGCTCGTCTAAAAAGTCCATTAATGTATTCATTTTGTATTTAAAACCTTTTTCTTTTAACATGAAGTATATTGATTCGATGCATAACGGCTCGTAAGTTAATATATTATTATATAATTCTTTCTGATCCGTTATTAATGCGAAAAACGCATCTTTAATATTTAGGGCACAAGTTCTATTTTCATCTAGTTGTCGTTCTTCATTTATTATATTTACTGGCAACTTTTCACCACTAAAGATTTAAATCTTATTAATATAATTTTTCTATATATTATATTATATACTATAAACTTAACATACCTGCTTTGCAATGGTGATGAATCATACCCATACTCGTTACCATAATTATTACTTTCATTTATATTGTTATTTTTTCTTCTTTTTGCTGATTGTTCATCGTCGCTACTTATAGCTACAAGTTCCGATTCTATTATTTTGGATCTTAAAGGAATTATAGGATGCAACTCATTATAAATATATGTCAACAATTTTACAGCCCGACTTCGTTTCTGCATTTTTAGTCCATATTTATGTAATTCTGCCTAAAATGAAATTTACAAATTGTTACTCTCGATATTTTTATTCTTAATCTATCTCAGAGAGTTGCTTGTAATATATAACTTATTGTCTTACATGAAGTTCAGATGTTTTCATGCCATCATAATCAGGAGGAGGTGTACAACTGTCCCTAGTGATTATAGGAGATTTAACTTCCCTTAAAATTTGTTTATGACAACACCTACATGGGGACTGCTCTACAGTATTGAAAGAAAATGTATAATTTTTTATATTATTTTTATTATTATCCAAATTTGTTTCTGATTTAGATCTTCTTTTAAATGTTTTGATATCTTGTGCCGTAGCTAATGATTTCTTTAATTGCATCACATTAGCATTATTGGTTGTAATTGATTCATTATTTTTGTTATTTGTTTCAATTATCGACGTTTTTTTAATCTTATTATCATCGTCGTTATCATCATGAATATGAACATTTGCCAGATAAATATCCTTTTCAAAAATATCATTATTGTCAAATTCATTCAAATTCAAAACATTATCATCCACTATTTTTTTATATGTATCTACATTTAAAGTAACAGAGTCTATTTCTGGACTAGATAGTACTAAAACAGAGAATTCTGATGAATTCTGTTGTTTCGATTTTCGTTCTGACAATAATACTGAAAAATTATTTTCGTTTGTTTCTATATCTATATTACTTTCTGACTTAGTGTACCTTAACTCGCTCGAATTAATTGTTCCCTCTAATTCATTATCAAGCATCTTATTGAAATTTGTAGGACATTCTGAAAATGACAAACTAGACTTCTCGAGATTGAAAACCCTTTCTTCCTTCTTTTTCGAAATGATTGTAAAGTCAGAAATATCTTCGTCCAACAATATAGAAATGTCTTCTGTATTCACATTGTTCCTTACTTCACAGTAATCATCTTCTGAACTATTTTTCACAGAAATTTTTTCACAGTTATTTGGTAAATTTTTTTTTGTAAAACTTCGATATTTCGCTATACTATTATTTTGATGTTCTTTCTTATATCTTGTATACATCGATAATTCGCCATCATCTGAATGAAAATCTGTTAAAATACTACCATCGCTTTCGATACATTTTTCTATACTACTATTTATATCTTGATCATTTACACTATTCTTCAATGAATTTTCTGTTACAGGAGAAATTATATTTTGAACTACATCTTCTGTACTAGTTATGCTGTTATTTAACGAATTACATTCCATAGACTTTTGTGTACATCTTTCTTTATTATCCTCTAATGATTGTGTTAAATTATTCTTTAAATTTAGATCTAAGTTCACATTGGTACCAGATTCTTCAGATGTCATATCTAACTGCAATGGGAAACTAGTAATATCGTAGTCAAACTTACTCAGAACATCTGTTTTTATCCCCAGTTTTTCTTTTACTACTGTGTTGGTTTTGGTAAATATAAAACTCTGATTAAAGTTACTATCTTCTACATTAAATGGATTTCTTTTCAGTTTTGGTGATACTTTTATTATTGTAATATCAGAATCTGTATCAACATCTGACTTCGCATTTTCCGCTTGAAATTGTTCAATAAATAAACTCAAATTACTTTTTGTTTTTTTAATATCAGACTTGTTAATACTGTTGCGCTTTAATCTACTAGACTGTGGTGTAGTTTTTAAACTGTTCATATTCTCTTCAATGGACTTGGATAAAACAAGATCTTGTATTTTGGCAAAATCGGTATCGATTTCTACTAGATCAACTGTATCAACAATGTCAATATCGTTAAATCTCTGTGATTTGTTTACATCAATTATTTGATTTAGAGAATTTTCTGTATAACTTGTAATGGAATCATTAACATCGTCAAACATATCTGGAGATACATTGTATTGCCTAATTGGACTTATGAGATTCTCATATTTATTTTTTACTGATAATGTACTTGTAGTAGGTAATACCGAACTTTCTATTTCAATTCTATAAGATTCGGAGTTATTTAAAATATTTTCTAAATACTCTTTGCTTGATCGTTTAGTTTCATGTAATGATTCTTTATTTTCTTCTTCTCTCTCACAGAG